TAATTAAGAAATTATATATATTAGTGAATAAAATACCATAATCCATTAAGTATCTTATCTTCTGCATATTCTATTGTTTATTTCAAAGCATTTGTGGTCTAAAAGATATTTCATAAATGATTCTCAATAAGATGTGACCTCTTAAAACCATTTCCATTCAGTTAAATTCAATGTATTGTAGAACGTGTATGAAGACCCAACGGGGCAGGGAGCAGAGCGGTGAGGACATCAGTAATGGTCTCCTTCATCCTATTCAAGCTACATTAGAAGCAGCCAGTCAGTGGGCCAGGTAGCTGTATGACAAATTTGTTAGCATACATGATTTGCTCCGGCTTATTTACATGAAAGTTATCCTACCAACCCAAAGGTGGGTGAACTGTTTTTGGTCAAGCATTCTTCTAAGTAGAATAGCAGTGGTCTGTCCATTTGCTGTACAGAGGTAACTTGTGATTGCTGTGATGTTGAACACTGTGACACTGATGTGTCAAATGTGATAATGGTTACACATGGTGGACAGTGTTTGGTGGTGCTCCGTGATTAAAACAAGCTTGGAAGCAGGAGTGGCATCCACTTCAGAAATAGCTTCCTTCAGAAACCCTATGAATTTGGAGTAAGGATGAAAGTTATACACGTGTTCAGGTCTTTTGTTCATAGGGTCACTATGAGTCGCATACAACTCAATGGCACTTAACAATAATAACAACATTTGCATGAAAAATATTCAAATGTTGCAAACAATTTGTTTGATATGCTCTTGTTAGCGCCCATCACATTGACTACAACTCATAGCAGTCCCATGACGACAGATCTGAGCCCTGCTCTCCCCAGCGTCATCGTCGCCACCTCTGATAACGGCTCATTTTCACAGTCACTGTGACAGTCCATCACTGAGGGTCTTTCTCTCATCATCTGATCCTCTGCCTTTTCTAGCATGGTGTCCTTTTTAAACAACTGCCCTCCCCTGACACTCAGGTACCAGAATTTTTTTTAAAAGGCTATGTGGTTATGACATATCTGGACAGAACAGAATAGTTAGTACAAATCTAAAAAATTATATATGCAAGGAAGGAGCATTGTGTTCCTGGGGAAGGAGTAGTGCCATTGCCCAGTAGTTGTGTGTGAGGGAGGCAAGGAAGAATTCTATCTAGTAAAGCAGAGGGAAGAGTGTTAGCACTGCCACTGAGGTGCATAAATACTGGGCGTGCTGGGGGAAGAGTCTGGGGTTGCCAGGGTCGCAGAGCATCAAAAAAAGAGACGCACAGAAAGAGTAGAGCCTCTCAGGAGCGCCCGAAGCCTTGCTCAGACACCTCACTTTATATCATGGATGAGTGAGATTCAATCATCAGAGTCTTTGGTGAAGAATGTTAAAAAAAAAACAAAACACGAGATTCCTGACATCACCCTAGACCCATATCTCAATGGAAAAGTCTAGCAATCTTTGTTTTTAATAAAAGCATTAAGGTCCTTAGAAAGAAAGGAATTCTCATATTTTGGAAAGGAAGAAGCAGAAGAATACTATTGGAGCTATGCTTTAGAAAGCAAAGGATAAGGTACCAGGGGCATTGTTCACCAGGTTAGTATGCTAACACAATAATACAGAATAGCTCTCCGCACACGTTAACGTGCAGAAGCATTACCTGGAGATACTGTGGAATACAGACTCCATAGTAGATCTGAGACTGAGTCTCAGATTCTGTATTTCAAAGCAGCGCATCAAGAGCTCGGGGGACACAGTCCGTAGGGAGTAGCACTGCTCACCCCAAGACGGTGCCTGTCTGGTGGCTCAAGTCCACCAGCGGCTGTGGAAGAGAAAGACGGGCAATCTCTTGTGAAATCTGTAGCCTTGGAAATTGAATGAAGGATCAGCCCTTTGTTGGTTCAATTCAAAAGAAAAATCTCATAGGCTATTGCCCATGTACAGTGTAGCAATAATGTGGATGATGGTCATGCCATTGACATTGGGAAGAGAGAAAAAGAGATGGGACAAATGTGAAATGAATATAAAAGATAACGTTATAATGCTACATATATAGTTATCTGCAATTGTAGAGTCAGGGATTAACTGAATCCTAGGATAAAGAAATGAAATAACAATGGGCACAAGGTCACAAATTAGACAAAGTCACCTTTATAGGGATTCAGCCTGAACAGAGGTCATGCATGGCTTATAAGCAGCCTTGTCTACCAGCTAAAAGTTGGCTAGATCTATTCATAGGTGTTGATTAGATACTGCTCAATTTTAGAGAGTGACAATGTCAGTGGTTGCACTGTATCTCCCTAAAATATGGGTGAATTTCCCCAGGCTATGATGTCAATTTCCACCATTTTGTAATCTAATGTTATTATCTACTGTCTTATAAAGTCCTAACCTCTATGGCACTATCTCTCTATCTATGTCTCTGTCTCGGAGAACGTGAAACCAGAGTGCTCCTTTGAGGCAAGGATGGTGAAATCCCATGTCACATTCTTTTGGGATGTTTTTTCAGAGGGGCCAGTCTTTGGAGAAGGACATCATGCTTGGAAAGGTGGAGGGTCCACATCCGAGAGAAAGACGTACAACAAGATGAATTACCATGGTGGTGGGAGCAATGGGCTCAGGTATGCTGGAGACAGTGAGGACGGTACAGACTAGGGCAAAGGTCAGATCTAAGAGTCACAGTCACCTGAACAACACACACCAACAAAGACACTATTGAGGCCAGGTTACTGGCAGCTATCTTAACGATATGCAATCTACAGGATTAGGTTGTATTTTGAGTCAATCTCTTCTGGAATAGGAACGAGATTAAACAGGTAAACAGAGAGGAAAGATTTCCTCTCATCAAGAGAGGAGATATGGGAGTAAAATTTGTCCTCTAGACTCAGGGTTCCTGCATAGTGAACCTCTAGGACCCCGGGAAAGATTGATCCCTTCCCTCAGAGCGAATGGAGAGAAAAAAGCCTTCTCACTTGAGGACTGGTACCTTGAATTCAGGTTTCTAGAACCCTAACGCGTGAGAAGGAGATTGTGGTGGCAGAGCCCATAGACAGTGACACTCTAAACCTGAAGTCAAGTCCTCTCTGGAGGCTGGAACCCACCGGCTTCTCTTCAGGAGGAAGTTAGGGAAATCCACCCACAAGTCATAACAACCTCCAAAAACCCACTGGAGGGTCAGATAGGAGTTGGTGCCTTCTCCTCGGCAATGAGGCAAGTTGAAAATACAGAGAATAAACTTCTGTTTATTAAGCCATCCACTTGTAGTATTTCCTTTACAGCGTCACTAGTTAACTAAGATTCAGTCATACTCTATCCTGTGTGAATGGTTGCTTCCCACCCACCTTCCCCTCACAGTATGCGGCCCTTGGGACATAGAGTTGATTAACATTTAACAATTGGGTTTTGAAAAGGAAATGCAAAAGCTAATGCTTTCTGGGTTTTTTTAATTATTAATTTCAATGAACATTTACAGAGATTCTGGATTTCCATTCATTGTTGCATTTTTCTCCCCCCCACTCCACAGCCCCCCTCCGCAGTTCGCTCTTCTCTTTGAAAAGTAAAAGTAAAATTCCTTCATTGGTATACAATCCTCCCGCACCCCCTCACCCCCACCCCAAAGTATACTCCTCTCTGCAACCTTCATTCCGGACTCTTACGATAATCATAATGCCCTATAATATATTCCTTTTAAATTGTTTTTTCCCTCATCTGTTTCAAAGCAGTATCCATAATTTATTCAGTCTTTCTGTTTTGACACTGATGAGTTGTTCTTTTTTAACAGTCACTAGTGGGAGAATTCTTGCCTTCGATGTGGGAGACCTGGGTTTAATTCTCTCACAATTCACTTCATGGGTAATCACCACCCGCCTGTCAGTGCAGGCTTGTGTGTTATGATGTTAGAGGTTTGAGCAGAGTTCCCAGACTAAATCTCGGAAGAGGTGACTAATTAAAATCTTGGGGGTCACGGTATCACTCTCTGCATTTGATTGCAGGGAACAGCATGGAACTGGGAAACATTTTGTTCCCTTACGAATGGGGTCACCATGAATCATTGGCCAATTCAACAACAGTAAACTACAGTAAAGTATTAGCTAAGCTGATCCCAGGCCTTGGTTTAAAATGATCCTTTAACTGTGTCATCCATTAAAATGCTTCTTTCTTAAAAACAGATTTTGTTCCACCAGAGGATATGCATCAGGACAGGAATCCATAACCCAGTCTTGTGGGATTCAGTACAGGCTGTCCTCATGTCCATCTCCCTGGGTACAAACTCCAGCCCTATCACCTGCCTGAGCTTGGGAAAAGAAGACTGAAGTTCACATCCATGAAGGGAGGGT